CGGGGGGTGCAGCCGTGCCATGGACAGGGGGAGCAGTTACACCTGCTGGCGAGAGGGCAAATGACCAAGCGGGGGAAAGGCTCCGGGAGAAGCCGGCTCCGCGGGGGCTCCGGGGCTGAAGCACCCACGGGAAAAAAATAGCGGGTGCTCAGCACCCACCAGCCACAGCTGTTCAGCGGGACCCCCAATCAGCTGTTTGGTGGGAGGTGGGAGGCTCTTGGGGGAGGGGGCGGAGCAGGGGTGGGAAGAGGCAGATCGAAGGCGGGACCTCAGGGGAAGGGGTGGAGTGGGGGGCGGGGCCTCAGGGCAGAGTGGGGGGTGGGAAGAGGCAGATCGAAGGCGGGACCTCAGGGGAAGGGGCGGAGTGGGGGGGGGGGCCTGGGGGAGGGTGGGGGGCGGAGCACCCCCCAGGAAATATAAAAGTCAGCGCCTCTGGGAAGGCTGAGGCCGGGTCACCGGGCACGGACGGGTCTTAGAGGCCGGATCATGGGGCCAGTGGTGTGTGAAACACCCCGGGCTCCCGAATGGACGGGCGTGAAGCGGAGCCGGTGGCGGGGCGGCGTGAGGACGCGGCTCGCGGGGGACCCCCGCTGGGGTGAGTCCTGCGTGCGAGGCCGAGCAAAGCAGGCCAGGGGCTAACGCGTCAGGAACGTCCCGGGGGCGCCCTGGGGTTCAGGGCAGAGGGGCCTTTCCCGCGATACCCAACTCGCCCCAGTGCCAACGACAGGTGTTAGCAAAACTGCCACCACCCGGTGGCCGCGGGGCTGGGAGCCAAGGGGGGGGGCAGCGGAGCGAGTGCCCCCCCCCCGCTGCAGAGCGAATACAATTGAAATGACGATTCTGCAGACATTTACGACTCCAATGACCCCCCCGCCCCTTGTGAGCGTGGACTGGCTTTGCTTAGACTATACTGCCCGACCGATGGGAGCGGAGGGCAGGGATGTGGGGATGGAAGGATGAAGGCGGTGTATGGGGCTGGAGGGCGAGATGAATGGAGGGGTGTAGGGGGGATGGATGGGGGATGGGTGGGGTGTGTGGAGATGGATGAATGGACAGAGGGGTGTATCTGTGGATGGATGGAGGGGTGGGGGGCTGGAGAGATGGATGGACGCGAGTGGGGATGGGTGGGGCGTGTGCAGTGAGAGGGATGGGGGATGGGGTGTGGGGTGGATGGATGGGGGATGTGTGGAGATGGATGAATGGCCAGAGGGGTGTATCTGTGGATGGATGGAGGGGTGGGGGCTGGAGAGATGGATGGACGAGAGGGGAGATGGGTGGGGCGTGTGCAGTGAGAGGGATGGAGGATGGACGGAGGTGTGGGGGGGATGGATGGGGGATGGGGGCATGGATGGGGGGATGAATTACACCCACTTACACCAAGATCTGAAGCTGTCCCAAGGGGGCCACACGCAGGAGGAAGGGAGCAGGGTCCCCCTAGGGCTTGACGGCTGTTGAGCCCATGACTGTGATGTCACCAGGGAGGGCGATTCCGTGACTATGACATCAGAGACAAGGCTGATCCCATGACTGTGATGCCATAGGCGCTGATGACGCCTGGACTCTAACATCAGGCTCAACGCTGGGACGCCAGAGGATGCCGCCACCGAAGCTATGATATCACAGGTGCCCGGCAGCACCTCCCGCAGGTAGGAAGAAGAACACCCCCCCACACCCGCTCTCACTCCAGCCAGCGTGGAGACCCAGTGAGCACAGTGGGAAACACAAGGGTCAGATACCCCAACAAGCCAGGATTCCCAGGGACCCTAAACTGTCTAGCTCTCCAAGGTGCCCATCACCGCGGCATCTGGGTACCGCTCCTCCAGGCCTGGCCCCATTGTACCGATGGGGAAACTGAGGCAGGGCGCGACTCGCCCAAAGTGGCCCAGGAAGTCTGTGGCAGAGCCGGAAATAGAACCCAGGCGTCCGGAGGCCCAGGCAGCCTCCCTCTCTAGCTGGGGTTCTGGCAGACACCGTAATACACCTAATAAATAGAACACAGGGGTCCTAGGCCATGACTGCAGTGCCTGGGTGTTACCGTAACACACCTAATAAATGGCACTTGAATGTATGGCGCCTGGTGCGATGGGGCCTGGTGCGATGGGGCACGACCGTCACACACCTGATCAATAATATCGACCGCTATTTAGTGAATCACCTTCATGACAGAGTTTTATGTTTGCTGGCAACGTAAAAATAAATAAATAACGTCGCTAAATCTAGCGCCCGGGAAAGCTCGCTACGTTCCGACGGACACACTTGGAACAAAAGACATTCGCACTTGTTCTAAAAACCCAACGGCCCTTCCCAGGGGAGACCAAACCAAACCTTTGTCAACCTGGATTTTGTCTCCTGGACAAAACCAAACCAGCATATTTTTATACCGAACAATATCGGCTCCTAGAAATTAAATTCAAATAGCCTATGAGAAAAAAGACACTCAAGACAATACACTTAATACATAATAAATTAGGCATTTAAATCCTTTAGACGTCTTTGGCCACCTCAGCCCTCAGGCCACTAAGCCTCATTAAAAATCAAATCAAATTAAAAAAACAAAACCAAAAAACTAAGGAAATTCCCAGGCCAAAAACTTGGGGACATTTGTTAATATCTCAGTCAAGGTGACCAAGATTCTGTTTCTCAACCCAGCCCCGACTCAAGTGTCTGATCTGATGCTGTTTTTTCTCCTGTTCTGTGTTGAGGAAAAATCCAGTGGGAATTTTTCCCCCACCGGAGTTTCAGGATGTTCCCCAGAGCAGATGGAAATTCTCCAGTGGAACTTTCTCCTTTTTCATTTCAAGATTTATTTTACAGTACGGAAAAATAAAGCTTAAAAAAATATATGTACCAAAACGGGAACAGAACGATGCGATCGACCCAAAATGACCCCCCTTCCAGAATTTCTTTTCACAGGAAGTTTCAATTTCGTTTGGCTCCGGTTTGGGAGTTTCAAAAATGGTGGATTTTCCTGCAAAAATGGAGGATCCGATTCCCACCCGGCTATCCCAAAACCGTGGGGTCTTTTGCGCCGTTCTCTGAAACGGCAGCTCCCTGTGGGAGACGTGGCCCCCCCCGAGCTGATCCGGGGCCATAGGGATGGAGGCAGGATACCAGCCTAGATGGGCTCATGGAATAACCCATCGTCCTAGGACCTTAGGATCAGTGATGGAGATGTTTACCAGGTAATACGCCTGGAATGAGCTCTGCCCTCATGCTGTATACATGCACACACATCTCTCCCAGGAGACCCTACAATAACAAACCAAGCCTGCACAGCCCCTGACACTCCCAGCAGACCCTACTATAATAAGCCAAGCAAGCACAGTCCCAAGCACTTCCTGGAGACCCTACAATAATCATCCTAATTTGCACAACCCCCAGCCATCCCAGAAGACCCTACAATAATAAGACAACCCTGCACCGCTCCCCAGCCCTCCCAGAAGACATTACAATAATACGTCAAGCCTGCACAGCTCCTGGCATTCTCAGGAAACCCTACGATAATACACCAAGTCTCTACAGCCCAGCCAATCCCAGGAGGCCAAATAATAACAAGCCAAGCGAGCAACCTCCAGCACTTCCAGGAGACCCTGTAATAACAAACCAGTGTGTAATTCCTTCCAGCCAGCCCAAACCCTTATTACAAACAATAAAGGAAAGTCCTAGGTCAGGTTCATTAACTTAATTTCATTAAGGTGATAAATATCAATCTGTTATTGTAGGGTCTCTTGGGAAAGTTGATACTGAGTACCCTGGTTTTGTTATTATAGGGTCTCTTGGGATGGGTTGGGCTGTACACATGCTGGTTGGTTATTCTAGGGTCTTTCAAGGGGGCAGGGATGTACACATGCTGGTTTGTTATTGTAGGGTCTCTCAGGAGGGGTGGAGCTGTACGCATACCAGGTGTTATTGTAGGG